CACATCACTTGTATGGAGTCTTTGGTCGGTATCTATGGGAGAAAGTCTTCATCCCTGGCAGCTGTCCCTGTGTCCCAGTAAGCATTCTCAGCACCTTGGTCCCAGAACATGATATTGTAGTACTTGGTGTTTGCTCTCAGCTTCAAAAAACATATGATCCATGGCAGTTCTGTGTTCCTTTCCTTCATGGCTTTCTTAAACAGCAAAGGCTCCAGGAGAATCCACTGAATCTCCATGTCAGACACACCTTTTAGACCTTCTCTGCCATTTACACAGTGACTCCCACAAGCAACAGCTGCCCCTTTTATGCTGTAATGGGTTTGTTTAAAAATGAAGCAACCACCGGGTGTGGTGGCACATGCCTGTAATCCCAGCACTCGGGAGGCTGAGGCAGGAGGATCTCTGTGAGTTCAAGACCAGCCTGGGCTACATAGTAAGTTCCAGGTCAGTCTCAACTACATAGTGAGACCCCGTCTCAAAAAACCAAAAAAAAAAGGAAGCAACCACATGGCCAGTGTAGTACATTAGTTTGGTTTTGGTCATGCTTTTTAATTCTACTGGTTTGTAGTATGGCAGGTGGCAGGGTTTCTCTGTAAAGACTGAGATAAAAAAAAATATTTTCAGTTTTGTGGGCCATATGTCTCCCCTGAAATGACTCAGCTCTGTGACTGTAAAGTGAAAACAACCACAGACAATATGTAAATGAACAGGCATCTCTGCATCCCAGTAAAACTTAATTCACAGAAACACACAGCCCCTGGATGTGGGCCTCGTGCTGTCACGTGACGACACCCAGACAGCCTGTTGCTTTCTTCACTTCCAACATTTTCACAGGACAGGCCTTTCCAAATAGTTTGACATGACATTAATTTGTTTTCTTCTACTTTTCTTTCTTAAATCTGTCTTCTTCCTGGAAGCTGAATCAATACTCAGTCAGAAGTTGATATTATACTATAAGAGCCAATGCCCTTTGCAGAGAATCCCTGCATTCAGGCCTTAGAGGAAGATGTACTGCCTATATTCTCTTTAAATCCCAGGCTTCTCCCAGTTTGGAAGGAAACCCTTTGCTCTTTGAATCTGGCCTCTGGCCTTCTAGTCAAAGGGGTTTTCCACTGGCTCAGCACAAGTTCTGAAAGTGCTGCGTGTGTTCATGCTATTTGCAAGAACTGGTCTTATGAGTATTCTGGCTAGAGTTGTTTGGCTGCTTATGGTAGAATCCTTTGTTTCCAAAAGAAATCAATATTTGTTCTTAAAGTTCCAAGAAAACCAAATGTTCTCCAGAAAGTATGAAGACATGGACTATCTTCCAGGATCCAATTATCTGTGAGCAGAGAGAAACAAAACCCATGACTCCACAGCCTGGGAGATAAATCCCTTAGTACAGAAACTTCTGCCCCTCACTCAAGTGCAGCCTAGAAAATTGGCTTTTTTTTTTTTAAGGAAGATGGAGTATTTGTAACAAAATGAGAGTCCACTAAGGTCACTTCCTCTGAGGAGCAACAAGTTACACGAATCATAAGGTTTCCTGTAATCTACAATAAGAAATCCGCAAAACAGAACTGATGGTTTTTCTAACTGGATGTGGCAGCTCACTTCAAGCCAATCACTGCCCTGTAGTCAATAGGAGAAAGAGAGTCAATGAAAATACCACCATCAATGGCCAGAGGCTGGGTAGGGCTCTGCATCTGCCAATCAGTAAAAAATCCATAATGTTTTAAGCAGCATCTGAACAGAAAGATAGTAATTGCTTCTGCCAAAAAGGTTGTCCAGCATGGATCGACATCAGCCACACATCTGACAGGGAAGTCAATGGGTAGGCCTGCGAGAACAGGGTTTTTGATGATTGGAAGGGAGAATGTGCATCAAAAACAAACATTTTTGTGATGGCTGGCCACTAATCTCTGCGACCCAGCTGCCTTTCCGCATGAGATATTCACAGGAGAGCTATTTCTTGCCCAAGTTCGAATTCAACAGCAGACACTAAAGGGACAGTCCTCAGTTAACTGTTTAGAAAGCCAGGGTTCGGGTTTTCTTCTCATAGGCAAGGGCTTCAGTTTCTCAGTGCTTTTAATTTTTGAAGCCCCTTGAAACTCAGCCTCAATGCTTTAGGAAGACAGAATACACCCTAACAAACAACTCAGAACAATAACAAAAACAAAGGAATCGAGCAAACCTAAAGGATAGACAAGGGGAGCAGATGGGTGCTGAACGCAAGATTATTCCAGGCTCTAGAAACACCGGCAGTTTGGGAATACCTGAATAAAGACCAAGTAAATCAATACAGCTGGTACAGCACCTACTATCCCTCTAACACAGGGAGGGAGAACTGTGACTTCATAGAGAACAACAGTGAGTTTGGAAGGAAGCAATTCCAGACAGACGTGTGGCCCCAGGTGACAGGAAAGACACTAGATTGTCATGGCCCTTGCCACAGGGCTCAGTGGATGTGTCAAAGCAGGGATACACAGGGATATTTTCCCTCAATCTATTTCATGAATCTAACGTCAAATCCTTCCCACTGCTTATTAAGTATTCGATCTGAATCTCTGCATTTGTTTCCTAGGGCTGCTGCTGAAAAACAAAATTTCCACCAAGTATGCGGTTTAAAGCAACAAGCATCATTCGTTCACAGCTCTGAACACCAGGGTCCAAAACCAGGGCGTCAGCCAGGCCAGGCTCCCTCTCAATGCTCTGGGGAACAAAGGCTCCTGCCTCTTCCGGTTCTGAGGCCGTGGGAGTCACTTGGCTCACCCTAACCTGCCTGTGTCTTCACTTGCCTTTCTGTGTCTCACACCTCCCCCTGCCTTTCTCTGACACGAACAGCTGGCATCGGGTTTAGAGCCCACCCTAAATCCGAAATGACCTCGAGATCCCTTTTTACATTTGCAGAGAACCTGGTTTTTCCTTCCTTTCTTTTCTTTTTCTGCAATGTAAAATGGTGGGTTTCTGTTTGTTTGTTGTTTTGTTGTTGTTTTGTTTTTGTGGTACTACGGATTGCACACAGCTTTTGTGCTGAGACACATCCCCAGTCCCTTTCTAATTTTTCTCTCTTTTTGGTGGGGGTGGGTAGGATCTCATTAAATACCAAGTTGCTCAAGCTTGTGATTCTCTTCCTTCAGCCTCACAGATAAAAGTGTTTCATAAAAAATACACAGTGAAAGGATTATGACAGTCAAACAAACTAACATACCCACCTCAATCACTGTGTACTGTGTGTGTGTGTGTGTGTGTATGGATGTGGTGCGAGAGCCTCTAAAATTACTCTCATCAAATTTCCAGTACATAACACACTATCATTAATGAAGATCTTTTTTTTTTCCATAATAAAGTCATTCACAGGTTCCAGAGGCTAGGATGTGGACGTATTGGGGGTGGGGGGCAGGATGTAACCTACTATGGTATCTAAAAACCAGAAGAGAAAGTGAATTATTTATGAAAAGTAACATAAACAGAGAATACTTCATCAAAGAGCATGAGGCACTATCCTGTCAGAGGCTGCACCAGTTAGGAAGGCTGTCTGAGGTCCAGGGTCTTCGTGCGTTGAACAGGAATGACCCCATCCTGGGAAGTCATTGTGCAGAGTGATGGTGATTCATTTAGAGCCCCTGGCACCCCAGTGGCAGTTTCTAGTGGCTCTGGGAAAAATGTCCACAGTCGCCACATAGGAAAAAGCATTCTGTCATTTCTCAGAGCAATCACTGGCATAGTGTGTCTTGGGTTTGGTGTTTAGGAGGGATAAAAGAAAAGATGAAGATGGGAATAAAAGAAAAAGATCCAAGGTGAGTAGTGATCACACTTGGGGGGAATCAAGGACTCCACATCATGAGAAAGCCTGTCCCAGCCCAAGCTGTCAGTCACAGTTCTCCAACTGTCCCAAGATTCACCAACTTAACACGCAGTCTGGCACTGCCTGTGAGATCCCCAATGTGTGAGCTGCAACTGATTTATTTTGTGACTCTAATGCCTGGCATGGTGCCTGACACCTAAGTCATTAATAAATACTGATAAAATGAATGCAAAGTAAGTCAGGATATTCTAGAAATGTCAGCTCTGGCAGTAAATAGTAATAGGGATAGCTACTATTTATCTGAAAGTATCATTTTAAGAGGTTTATGTGGACTAAATTTATTGTGTGGGTTAAATAAGTGTATTCATCTATACCATTACCATTCTCCTATAGCATTTGACCATGGCAGGAGGCCCAGAGGTGTTACTGATCATTACCATTTATTGCAATCCTCACTCCAATCAATAATGGAGATAATCTGATTCCCAACCCACCCAGCAGGAACTAAGGCTCTGAGCGATTAGATCACAGAGCTAAGTAAAATCAGAGATAGTTGGGATTCACCACAAATCAAAGACCCGTGTCCTTTCTAGTACACTGCACTTTCTAGTACACTGAATAATTCCAATTATTCATTCATGCTGTAAGGCTGGTTCCAGCTCACACTTCTATAGTCAAGCTATATACTGGGATGTGTGTGTGTGTGTGTGTGTGTGTGTGTGTGCACCTGTATAGGCATTATGAATATATGCATACATATATATGCCATGTATTTGTAATAGCATACAATGTACAGAATTGAAGAAATAAACTAGCCAACACTGAATTGAACACTGTCAGAGAACATGGCAAAATCCCTGGCACTGTCAATTTTTTTTTTTTTTTTTTTGTACCAGGGATCGAACTCAAATCCCCGGCTCCCCACTGTCGAGTTTCTGAGTCTCATTGTCAAGGGGTAAAGTGTCGCATGTTATACCTTGTCCAGCTCATAAAAGCAATGCACGCAGGGTTCTGTAAACTCTTGAGCATCATCTGCAACTTATTAACTTCCTGTTGAACATCTTGTTTCTAAGCCAACCACCCCTACAGTGAAGAGAAATGAACTGCGCTTAGCATTCATGTACCAATGTTTTTCTCTCCATGTCAACACCTGCAGACAGTGATTCGGAAACGTGAGCAGGGGAACTAAAGAGTGTCCCAGCCATGAACTTACAGGAGGAATGTATGCTGGGGAAGCTTTTGCGGCCCTCGGACACCAGGTCAGGGTCACCTGTGCAGTGCATTTCCGAGTTCATCACTCCATCTGGAAAGCAGCGGTAAAAGAAATCGGGGCGAGGTCTACAAAAGACACCATGGACATTTTCACTATAACATGCTGCCATCATAAACAAGCCCCAAGCTGACCCCACCTCCCACAGCCCCAACCCTCCTCAAGCCCACTCTGCTATCGACCCTGAGCTCCCCTCAGAGCGCTCAGGACATGGTGGCTAGGTTAAACCTCAGGCTTTGGGGTCAGAAAGAACTGAATTAGAATTCTTGTTCACCACTTACTAATTTTGTGACCCGAGGAAAGTCACTTAGCCTCTCCCAACCTCAGTTTCCACCTCTGGAGAAGGCAGAAATTAGTCAATATCTATCCACAGGTGAAGGCCTGAGTATTAAATGACATGACACAGGAAGGACCTGAACCCAAGTTGGGGAATAAAAGGTACTTCCTGCCTCAAGCTACTACCCCACCAATCCAGAGCTTGCTTCTAGGATCCAAATATCCCTGTGTCCTTAATTTCAGTGGCCGAACAACAGGTCTCACTTAACCTTGCTGAGAGGACTTGGCATCTTAGCTGCAAGACACAGAGAACTCAGTGACCAAGGTTGGCTACTCTGGTCTAGAGTGTAGGAGAGACACCTCTAATAGGGTATCCCTGACCTGAAGCTGAGACTTCGCAACAACCATCGTTAATATTTCTAAGTACTTGCTAGGCTCTACACACAATGAGGGGCACTGTGAGTTCATTATACCATGTGACTCTTATGAGAATCCTGAGTCTGATCCCAAAAATTTCTTCATTCTACAGGTGCAAAAATTTAAGGCTTAGGAAGATAAAACTCTTTGCCCAAGGTCACACACAACCAGTAAGTGGCAAAGCTCTGAACCCCAGCAACTGGATCGTATGCCTAAACACTTCACCTCATTCTCATATGAGGATGTATGATGGTCCAGCACTTTAAAGCTATCAAACTAATACTTCCTGAGCACCTACCATTGGGGAGGCTTTGCTAATGCTGCAAATATAGCACTGTTTCTCTGTGCACACTGGGTTACAGTTCACATATACTGACTTGCTGCCTCACCCCACAGCTCTGGGATCTCAGTAGCTGCTCAGAGCTCCTGATGTACCATCTTTCCCCACCTCAGCCAGTACTTCTCCTGTGTGGCTATTGTGTGACCTATTGACCCAGAACCTCTCAGGGGCAAGGCCTCAGAATCGGCATTTTGTGAACACCACAACATAGCACTAAGCACATAGAGTTGACAGAACACTAGGTTGGGTCCTGGTTTTATACCTCTTCCACCCCTTTGGTGCTGGGTCAGCACACTTCCCTCAAGCCAACAATCAGTTAATGTTGAGGTTGTAAGAGGGAACCTTACTTGTCATCTGCATCAGTAACTATTCAGTGTCCAAGTCAGGTCTTGAATTCAGGCCTTAAGCCATTTAATCTCTACAGAGACAAATTCTCTTGTAGTAGTCACAGGAAAAAGAAAGATAAATTGATGACAGAAATTATTCCTTAGGGGCGGTAAGAAAAATGTGTTGTAAGTCAAATCTCAAATGCCAATCCACACATCTCATCCCAAAGAGAACAGTAAATAAATAACATTATTTATTTATTAGAAGCAAAGCTGGCCAGTGAGTGGGTATCTGGTATAGCCCTGATGTAGCAGTGAGTAGCCCTGGAAATGTCCATGCAGGCACTGGCCCACAAAAATGTACAATTAAAGGACATTTTCTTACTAATGATCTCCTGCTCTATAAAACAGTTCATAATTCAAAGGAGAGAAAAAGATCTGTGATGAAGGCAAAAACCCTGGAAGGAAACACTTTAAAGAGAAACTAAAAGAACTCCAGTTTGCCCTATCCCATGTCCTCTGGCCATGGTTCCTATATAGATGGCCTTGATAATCTAACTCAGCATTTATTTCTTTTTGGAACTTACCTTCCCACTATTAACTTAATAGTGTTTGTGCAGACTCCATTCAAGGCAAGAGCCAAGGATACAGCTACAAGACAAAACCGACAGAAAAATAACCAGCTGGCTCTCAAATCAAAATCAAAATCATTGTCATCACTACCACCATGATCATCAGCACCACCATCACTACCATCATAAACAGCACTGTTATCATCACCATCGTTACCATGGTCACCATCGTGACCATGATCACCATCGTCATTACCATCACCACCAGCACTGTTATCATCATCATCACCATGATCCCCATCATCACCACCACCAAGATCACCATCCTCACCCACTGTCATCACCACCACCACCACCATCATCTTTTCACTGCAATACCTTTACATTTATTGCCATAGAGATATGAACCACTACTATAAGAACAGATGAAACTTAGTTGCTACAGCAAAATATAATCAGGGCAGAACTTCACAGGATGATTCATAAAATTCCAGGCCCCTATAACATGAAATTTTTCTCCCTTCCTTGATTGAAATTTTCAACACCACAGAAGTGCGCATCCATCACTTTCTGGCCTGATATGAACAGATTTAATACTGCAGCATATACAGTTTCTTTTACTGGTAGCAAAAACAACTGTTTTTATTTCCTCCTGACAACTTCCTCAGATATAACTAATCAGAGCAGCTGCTGGAGTCCTACGGTGAAATAGGATATTCCCACCAGGCCACTCTCTCACTGTTGACCCATCACTTGCTGACAGCTGTCTATTTGTTACCAAATAAATCATCACTTTTGAAAAGGGGAAAAGTCCATATGCCTCCTTGGGTTTTGAGGAGGTTTGCCAAGGTGGTGCTTTTTGTCATTTAAAATCACAAGTGCTCGTGGAATACATTATTAAAAAAAAAAAAAAACACGGTGCAGAGACCTTCAAGCCACTTGAATAGACTTGGCCAGATAAAGTCCAGATCATCCAAATGGGACAGGTGATGTGAATCATAGAGCTTTTCCTGGAAGAGCTGTGCACCCCTCTCCTGTGGTTTGTCAAGAGTGCACAAAGGCACAGCCATTGCCATCAGTGTGATGGACATCAAATGCCTTATATAAGCAATGAAAACTTTTTGATGCCCTGTTCCACTGCTTTGTTGAATAATAAAGCATGTGAGCTACCATTTCCCCTTGGTAAATATTAACTGTTCAATACTAACTAAGATTTATGTAAGAAGAGAGCAATGGTGGGGCATTTTTGGGAAGGAGCTGCCTCGAGCAATTCATGGCCATCAAAGAGAGACAAATGTGTTATTCTATCAAGAGAAAAGTACTATGGAATGGCCTACACTGTCACCAAGGACACAGACTACTGAAACTTGGACAAAACTACCTGCTTTCAACAGGCTGCCAAAATGAGAGGGACGGATCAAAACAGACATCTTTGTCCAAAGGAAATGAATTGTGTAAGTGGGAATGGGGAGCAACTAGCCGTATCTAAGTAGGGTTGCAAAGGAAGGACAGGCCACAGTTGGAAAGCAGAGTGTCAGTCAGCACCAGTACACTCCCACGAAATCATAGAGCATGCAGTCAGGGTGCCTAAGTTGGAATCAAGTGTCGGGGACTAAGGAAGATCTGCTACTGATATTCTTCACACACAAAACCTTTCTTCCTAAAACACAAGCTTCCCCCCTCTCTCTCAAACTCAGAGCACTTCTGAGAGCTGTGAGGCCACAAGGAAATGATTGTGGTCTTTTACCTGCTGGGGCTCCCCTGGAAGGCTCCCTGCTGTGTTTTCCCAGTGAGGTTGGGCTCATTCTCATCCTGATTAGAGTATAGCCTTGGCACATATAAACTTGAGAACAAGCATCAGTAGCCGATCTCCCATGTCTCAATAAATCTTGGTAAACTTTACACGGAGTTCCATCGACCCAGAACACTATATTCTCCTCCAACCTCTGAGTCTGGCAGGCTGTCTCAACACAGAGCAGTTTTTCAGAAAGTCTGAAGTACTTGAGCTAAAAAAATTGTGGATGTGATTTAACCATCTCTTTGTTTCAAATGCCCTAGGGAGACAGAGAAGATGGGAAACTGGACTGATGGTATTTAGTGTGGGAAGTCATTTCAGCATTGTGGAAGTACAATGAGCTGGTTAATATTTTTATCTGAATAGCACAGCCCCCAGGAACCAACACAGGAACCCCTCATGATATCAGAGAGCAGGCTGCCCTCAGATCAGACTATTGAAGGGCTGAACAAGAAGGAAAATTAATAGTTCCAATCAGAAGTGTTTAGTGACTCAACAGACCTGGCTCACAGGCTGTTTTTACTGCATCCCACAGCATTGTTTGAAAGAAGAACCAGGAAGACAAACAGGAAGTCTGTGTCTGATAAAGAGATTCAAGGCAACAACTCTTGAGTTGGCTTGCAAGGGGCTCATACTGAGGGCACTACTAGTTAGAAGCAGTCCACAAGATCAGAGGGCTTTTCTTGCTGCTTTTATTATTGGAAATTCAGTGTCACAGCACTCCAGTAACAGGGTTCTCTTTATAGAGACCTGGGTGTTCTGTGGCATAAATTCCTAAAAACCCCACGCTAAATGGAACAAACCTCACTCTCCACATCCAGCCTTAAATGCATGTGTCTGGCCACTGTGCACACACAGATAAGAGGAGCAACTCAGGCTCATATTCAGAAGCCTGAGTTAAAGTGTATTTACCTAGGTAAAGAGGGGACCCATGAACCAAACACTTCATACTGAGAAAGTCCTTAATCCCAGACATCACCAAACACCTAAGTTTTCTGTCCTAGCATTTAAAGATCATTCTCTCACTTCCTAATTCTGAGCCTTCCTAAAAGCAGGGTTAGAAACCCTCTGCACAATGGACTCCTCATCATTTTACAGGGCAGGCTCTCATTTATTTAGGCAAACAGAACATTCAATAATCCCACCTTCTTGGTTACCATATAGGAGGCAGAGGATGGTGTTCAGGTTGAAATGTCATCCTAAGGGAGATTTAGCCAAGAATGAAAATGTCTAGAAAAGGTAACTGCAAGCTGCTTACTGCCATCACAACAGCTCAACTCCAGAAGCCAGCAGTAAATTATGAAAACCACCACAAAAGGCATGGAGGTGCCTTATCCACTGTTATATATCTCAGGACTTTGTGCCAGGAGAGCGACTAGAGTCACAGTAGAGCGGGGCATTTCCAGGTCAACTGGGAGGGCTCCAAAAGGATGCTTGGGGATCACAGCGACACCCATCCAAACACTGCCAGGCCACTTGAGCCATATGCAGGGGTGCACCTGTGCCCTTTATGAAGATAAATGGCCTTTCTGCCACCACAGCTGAAGATGAAGACCGTATGACCAAACCCCCAACCTACTTGTCCTGAGAGAGGGCAACCCCAAGCTGGCCAGAGACTTGCGACTCAGTGTTTTGACTGCAAAATGAGCTAAGCCAAAGTCTGTCTAGGGAGCCTGGACCGAGAAATACGGTGGAGATCAGTGGTGGACACCAAAGCTGCACTAGCAGGCAGACAAGGGGCAAAAGTGACCATCACTGCAAGCCCAAGCCTCGTACAAACCAAAGATGTGAGTCAGCAGCGATGAAACTAGTGCGGGCAGGAGAGTCTGGGACTGGGAAGGGGAGGGAAAGGCACATTCTAGGCAGAGGTGACCATGAGTGGGGAGCAGTCTCTCGTCTTGATGCCCCAGCTCTCCACCTCAGTCACAAGGAGGCTTCTCCATATTTCCTTCTCCCCTTCCTCTCTATGAGGTTGCTTATCTTAGCCCTATATTTAACTCTTTATTTGTCTGAGCTAATTTGAGAGGGATACAGTTATCCTATTCTTTTCAACTAGAAAGGATCTAAATCCTGTGGTGTAAAAAATGACTGCGTGGTTGAGGGCAGAGCCCCCGACTGATCTAACCTAGATTGAAGCCTAACCTTCACCGCCTTATCCAGAAGAGAAATGGCCACATTTCAGCATAATTAAAAATGCACCTCTTGGTGAGGAATCTCACTGTTCTAGATTGACTACCTGGCTCTTTGGTAAGTCCATGCAATACATAAAACACAAAATTGGGGGTATCTGGATAGCTTTTATGTGAGGTATCAAAAATCAACCTATTTCAATTTTCTTCAGGATCTAAAAGCTAAAGGTTTATCTAATGATTAGTTTATTTTGGTTATTAAATAGGCTAACTAGTGTTGACTATCTCTTGAACTTACATTTTGTCAGCATTTGATTGATATGCAGACCAGAAAAAACATTTAATCCTAAAACATGCAACTGTTGTCCCGTGTGGATAGGGTTTAGCTTGGGAACAAGTTATAACAGTAGTGCTGTGATCAGGGGCAAAGACTGACACACTCTTCACCTAAAGACAATTGTTTAGCTTCCAAAATGTTCCCAAACTGAAAATGTTAGGACATTCGTTTCTAATTTAATTTACACCCGTTTTTACCCATTTTTTACTTCAGCACACAGCGCTTTCTGAAATGCCCATAATATGGTGCCACTATGAGATTGGACAATTAGTGGTGACCATATCAGATTTGCTATGTCTAAGCCAATCATTGCCGGGCCACTATGCCTGAACAGCCCGGATTTCTCATAAGGATAACACACAACGGTCAGCACCAAGGACAGCGGCCAGGGCACCCTCTGAAAATCCCTTTCTTCTAAACTGTCTATTGGCTCTTCTTTGGCCTTAGAGTTGATCTTGTTTTGTTTTTCCTCAGTTTAATTTGACCAAAGGAGTAGTCACTTGGATGCAACTGAAATTTTTTAAAAAGTGATGATCTAATTAAGTTCAGCTCCACCCCCTGAAGTAGGAACTGTGAATACTCTACCTAAGAAGGCTTCCTTAATTTCAGTCTTGTCCGTTCGCCGAATAATTTTCACCACACAAATAACAGCCAAGGGTGTGAGGAAAGAAATTGCCTGGAAGACATAACAAATAATACCTTATGAGAACATCAGTTTGCTTTCAGAAGGACTGATTGATAATTACTCCCAGTTAGCTTCATTTCAACCTGCTAGTTGAATGACCTCACTGACCTCCTGGCCCCAAACAAAGATGATTTATATCTTCATTTAAGGAATACAGAGACTTAAAAAAATTAAGGTGTGTTTGTAGGTTATAACTGATTTGTAATTGCAAGGAGCTATGTTTAAAGTGGTGGCTTTTTAAACAGAAAAGAATAGTCTATAACTGTGATGACTCATGGCTGCCAGGAGCTGCCCCCTGTCCTCCTCTGAGGAAGGGTGTGAGAACTATTGGGCTCTCATTCCCATCTCTCTGGCAACACGAGAGTATGGGGCTTGCTTACAGTTTCTCGATTCATTCCCTTGGGCTGTTCTTTTGTGAAACATTCATGTCTTCTGCAGATTGGAGGTTAGGCTTTTTGCATACAGTCCCTCCTCTTCCCTTCCTCCACAAAGATATTTAGCATCTTCTTAATGAATTAGGCTGATGGGATCCACATGTAACCAGTACTCATTGTAAAGCATCTGTGCGTGAGGGACTGTGAAGTCCAGAAGCCTCATAAATACTCATGACGGCACTGTGCTGCCTGCTCTGGGTTCAAGGACTGTTGTGCCTGGGGACAGGCAGCTGGTGAGTGGCAAGGCCAGACTTGGAGACCAGGTTTTCTGCCTCTCGTGTGGAGCCTTTAATCCAGTTTTCCATAATTACTAAGTTGTTTTTAAATATTCTGGCAACCAAGTAAAAGGTACTTGTGTTTCTCATATGAAAACTCCTCACAATAACAATATCAGGAGGGATAAGCATTCTACAGATATCCACCGATATCTATCAGTCAGCAGTGGGAGGAGTGGGAATGCAGTAACTATTGACCAATGCTGTACCACCCCTCGGAAATCATCATCTGCAGTCTTATGAGATGTCACTTTTTGGAGGAGTGCTTCCTGATGGGACAGGGATGGACCATGGTCTCATTTATGCAAACAGAATTCATCCAAATGAACCTGATCTTTTCAAACAATTAGAGATGCTCTGCAGGCTTAACTACAGCAAGGCTGCAAGAGCTCAGCTCACTGCAGGGATTCTTCTTTGATACCGGTCTTCAGAGACAGTTTGTGAAACACCAGAAAACTCTTTGTCTTACTTGCCCCTCTGTCCTTGTGACCACAAATGGTAGTGACTAGTTTGCAGATCCTCCTTCTCTGTTGTGACTCTAAATAACACAGGCTGTTTAGCAGTCCAATAAGCCTTGTCCACATAAAGGGCATGCAGAGGCATGTAGCACATGTGTTGAGAGCAGGTGCATGACAGTAGACTCAGAACTGAAGGAGAAATAGCAGAGAATTTCCCCAGGGCTGCACGGAAGGCAGTGCTCGTGCATGAGTTAGTGGTTCTGAGTCTACAGAAGTTCCCACCAGTTCCTGGGTAGCTCATACTAAACAACTTTGGGGCTTGGTAACATGTTGATTTCCTCAAATGCACTTGTATAACCAGTGTGGGGATTGCATACATGTGTGTATGTGTGTGTGCAGGTGCTGGGGATTGAACCTAGGGCTTTGCGCAGGATTGCATTTTTAAAATAAACACCTCAAATGGTCCTCATGCTATTTTCCAAGAGGCAGTGGGCTTTAACTCATATTTTAAGGCCTGAAGAGTGATGACTGGAGCACTGCCTACTCATATTCAAGGTTACAACTCAGGTTGAAGAAATGTGTTACCAAATCCAAACATGAAACCTACCAGGCGAGCTCCCTGTTTCTAACCCCTTTTAGTGCCACGTGCTCCCAGGTAAGAGAAAGCAACTCACCAAATAGTGAATAACCCCATAATGATCCCATCAAGTAAAGCCTCACAAAGGAGAACAACGTAGAATGGAAGAAGAAATTACAAGAGAATTCTCGCTGAGAGACTCAGATTTATTTCTAGACAGAAATGAAACCCCTGCTTCCCAAAGCTATCAAAAGAAATCCCAGAGCAGGAAAACCCCACCCAACAGGAGACAGGGTACCATGTGGGAGACCTGTGAGAGTGCAGCCAGCTGAAGGAACTGGGGAAGTTGGCAGAGCCCCCACAACTCCCAGCTGGCGAAGGGGGTTATGGCTGGGAAATCTGACCCTGCTCCCTGCCTCCTCCTGCCTGTTCCAATTGGAACACTCACCCTACTCCCCCAACAGGACTGGACTTAACCCACCATACAACTTTCCCAGCTAGATGCCTTTTAATATCTTTTCTAGAACTACTGGCCAACTGCTTCCTGAGCCAGTCCTAAGCACCCAGGATCACCAAAGGGTGCCCACTCAAGACCTCCCAGGGCAAGGAGATAGCGTTTTCAGACAGCACTGAGCTCCACCCCAGGGTGCTATAACAGGAACTTCTGTGTGTGGCTGTCTGATGCCTCTCTCTCCTCATCTCATCGTAGTGGCACTTGGGCCCTATCTCATTTTTTCTTCCTGGACACCAATCTGCCATATCCCTGGGTAGCAAAGAGCCCAGATCAGGACAGACAGATATATTTACATTGATCACCGGCTCCTTTTTTGACAAGTACTTTTTAACTAGGAGTTGAAGCTAAGATTAAACCCCAGAAACCAACAAGTTAGGCAAACAGCTGCCTTCTGGGGCACAGGCAGCTTGAGACCGAGAGAAAGCGGAACAGAGAGTACCAGCTCCTACCACAGCCTCAAGCACCCTGGGGAGAACCTCAGGCCTGCATTCCTTCTACTTCTCTAACCATGAGTAGGACTACTCATAAGTAGTCCTGCTGCCCAAACCTAGGGGTAAAGTGAACACGGGGATGGTGAAAGGTCACATCTAACATCCCACAGCAGGGGATGGGGACCAAAATGGGCAGGCAAAATTCCCAGATGGGATTGTTTTCCCTTCTGTTAAAAGTGAAATTCCTAGGATGAGCCCAGGGTAGGAAAACAATGAGTGGTTGGTACTTATGAAATGGACCTCAGAGAGAACAATGAGCTCAGCCAAATGCTGCTTCAGAATGCAGAGCATATCCTGAACCCTCCTGGGCTTCAGTTTTTCTCACTTGTCACTGGCTGCTGCAGGGGCATTGTTAGTTTAGAATAACAGAGGCTAACACGGGTCTAAGACTCACTAAGACTATGCGTTAGGGGCCTTCCTCAAATATGTCTGATATTCTCACTCTTCTGTTGAGGAAACACTATCTCCACAGTACAGGTAATAAATCCAAAGCTCACAGAAGTAAGCAAATGCACACACCCAGGGATACCAGGATGCCTGAGACTGGGCTGCCATGCTTCTGGGTTGGTGTCCTCAATCTCAGTGATCCATGACTTCATTTTACAGATGGGGAAACTGAGGCTGCACTAAATAACAGTTTGTAAGTGATTAATTGTCCCATGCAGTACCACTAAAAGAGATGCTACATATAAATAATTCAATAGTACCTAGTACTTGAATGGTTTTGTATGATGCTTATTTTATAGGCTGGGAACCAAGTCCTGTAGAAGAAAATATGCTGGATAGATTGAGGGAGAGCTGCATTTAAGCCCCAGCTCTGACACATGTTATGTCCCTGAGCAAATCACTTACCCTCCTAACTTTTCATTCTCCATTTCCTTATCTATGAAATGGGTGCAATAATAACATCCATAGAAAAATATTAACACTGGAATTCAATTCACTAACAGTTACTGAATGCTTATTATGTGTCCCACACTGAGTGAAGGGTCAGAGGTCTGCCATCTCATGTGATTCTCTCCATACCCAGGAGTCATGTGAAGCTAAAACCCACCTTGCACAGATAAAGAAAGTGAGGCCCCCTCCAAGGGGTAGGTAACTGTCCAAATTTGCAAAATCAGTAAGTGGAAAAACTGAGAGGCAGCCACTCTGGGGCCCAGCATAGCCTAACAGAGAGCAGGAATCCTGCAACAGCTAGTTGTTGGCTACTAGCTCACTCTTTTCCCCAAAAGAGTGTTAACAAATGGCCCAAATTACACCAAAAAAGGGAACCAAGATCGTGTTCCCAGACGTGTGATATTAAAGCATTTCAGCTCTATCCCACCTATGTCCATAGATCTGAGTAATGAGTGCCTTCAGGTTCAGGAAGAAGTGAAACAATTTCATTCTCCAGGAACTCTGCTCAACCCATGCCCCCAACCTTGTGTGTCTACCAACAAAAACAACACAGGAAGTGCCTTCAGCCCCAGCTTCTCCCCCTCCCAGAAACTGGGTCAGCCCTGGTGCTGATGAAAGGCACCACACGGTCCAGGATGCTCTGGGAAGGAACAGACATTGGAGCACCATGTGTGATTGGGGAAGAACCTGAGGATGCTCAGGATCCTAAGAAAGGATCAAAGCCAGTGGAGCCCCAACGTCAGGATGCGGGCCACAGAAGAGCCTGTCACTGAGGTGCATTCACATCAGACAGAGCAATGGGCCCAAAGTGCCTTCAATTCTGGCACCTGACAGAAAGGTGTGCTGCAAAGTGACACACAGACACCTACAAAAGGCTCTACTGTGGGTAAACAATTACATCCTGACACAACGAAAAGAACTGTCAAAAACTTTTTAAAGGAGTCAACCAATTAAACTGTCAATCATGAGCCAGCTTTGTCTCTTTTCCTTCCAACACCCCCCCCCGACAAAAAAAGATTTTATTTTTGTCTCCCTTAGGCACCCTACTCCAAAATGGGAGAAACCTTGCTATCAAATCAACAGTGTCAGTAAGATTCTAAGAGAGTAAACCTGGCATGTTGTGGCTGGAGAAAAGAGACAAGGGTAAAGTGCAGGTCTTGGGTGGATTTTTTTTAAAGCCAAGGAAAGACACTCATAAACATCTATCCCTATTTAGATCTCCTACTGGAAACGCACCTGCTCTTCAAAGGTTTCCAGTGGTGCCAAACCATTCCACTTGCACTCATGCCTGGTCCCACTCAGCTACAATCCATACCTTATTCAGCTTTGTACTCCCATTGCCTGC